CCTACACATAAATTTATCACCTACTGATATTACGTGTAGGATAACTAATGGATAACGCCAATTACCACAGTCTATTTAGCACTAGATAATGTAAAATAGAATTTGACTTTCACATGAGGAGAGGGAGAAGTGCATGAAGATATCACAAAATTCATAATTGGAACCGCATAAGTACTTGGTTGATTCTTTCCCACATGACAGTTTTGAAATTTGCAGTGCAGTAAAAATGGCACTTAAGATTTCCACTGAGTTTGATGCAGCTTCTTAACCCTCACTAACGTAGAATAACAATGTCTTCATTGTGCCGAATTTATCTTACGGCTTAGGAGGCGGCGCGGCATTCAAAAGAACGCGGCACAGCGGGCCCAAAAGTCGGTCGTTTGAGTGGCTAGGACCTGAGCTATTGCGTCATCTTTCACGGTAAAATGCTGTCTCGCACAGTATCTATGAAATGTGTCCGGGAGTTTTGTCAGGTTACAGGTGAGTTATCACAGTTCCCGTTGATATTATCAGGCACGGATGAAGAAACTGCTCGCTCATTTCTGTCAGCTTGTAATGATGATTTGGATTTAGCTGTGAGTCTATATATGGATGACCCTAGTAGAGTTCCATCTCACAGTACTACAGAGGAATATCTTGCCCCCATCCCTCGAAGAAATGAGCAGCTACTGCCTGCAGTTGTGCCACTTCGTAAGTTCATTTCCCGATTTGCCACATCTTTTTCATTATTAGTTTTACTTGTACTAGTAATTATCACTTTATGAATGTTAGTGTATTTGGTCCGACTGGTCAGTTTATCTGACTTAAATTGTTAGGTTTTTGTCACGAACCAACGTCAGTTAGTGAGATTATTGAAAACCAGGGGGCTCTTTACCGTTCTTTCGTGCAATTTCGGAACGCCTCATCAATGTAAACCCATGATTTCTTGAGGGATCGAACGCGGGACCTTCATGTTAGGAGACTAAAGTCTTTGACCATTATACCACTTGGGCTAGACTTCAATGACTCCTGAATTCAAGCTGTCAACTTGCGATATGGCGGCGCCCTCATCAATGACCGATGAGAATCCTCTTCACCTTGACATAGTGGACAGCGCTGGTCGCGAATTTTCGCTGTGGCTTCGAGAAATCCATTCAGCATCTATCAGTTAGCTGGCGTGCCTAAATTGTAACAATTGAAATTAATTCGAAATTCCTACAAACCCCATAATCAGTATATCTATTTTCGTCAGATGTGTGCTTCATCAGGTTGGGCTTTCGGTTCTTTCAAGCTATTATCAGGCCAAATGTTTATTCTGGCTTAGATCATCAAGTTTTTTATTTTTAAGGTGTGTAAACACAACTAATAGGCGTATAGAAAGTATGCATTTAGGCCTGAGTATTCATTTCCAATATGTACGAATTTATGTAGATTTAAGCGTGTTGGGGAGTTTCCTGTCTGAAATGACGCGCTTTTATGTTGATCAATACGCCAGTGGAAATATAAGTTAATCTAACCTTAACCATGTGCATAGTCCCAATCCATTGTAAACGTATTTTTATAACAATCACCCTGAACGGACGCACATACTTGCATGGTTCACCGTGGTAATGTTCTAATTTCCACGAATTGATGAAGTATCTAAGAAGTTATGCGCTAATGTAACTGGAATATGAGATTAGGTAAGCCTTACCTGATTTCTAATTCCCATTTTATATTCAACAATATGCCTATGACAATATTAAACTCATTTCTATTAGGATCGGGTAGATTGTGATATTTTTGGTACGCAGTCTTTATTTAAAATGGTTCTACTTAATTGAAGCCTGACATTGTGTAAGGCAACTTGTAATATTTCATCATTTGTTCACAGATTACCAGAGAGCGAAATAAATATTTTTCCGTTGATGAACGACCCCACTGAGGTCTAAATCCACCTGATTCTATAGTTTGTTGCATTTTTGTCAGATATATTTATTTTGAGCCAAACAAAGGTCTGGTTCCCTTTTCCCTGAATTACGTAGTAGTGAATGACTAATTTAGACCTACTAATATAATATTTAGTTATTGAAATGTCATTTGTAGACTTCATTAACTCAGGAAGTATCGGACTTGAGTATTTTTTGAAGTAAAACTCACTACACTTTGTTTCTTTTAAATGATATTATTTAGTTTTCTTGACCAGTTTTTTAATGCAATTATCAGGGGAAAATTATTATCACCTTTACTTTTTTTGATCACATGCTTAGTGCCTACTCATTTGCAAAACCCAGCTCCACTTCAAAAGCGTCGACGAGCATTCGTGGCCGATGATTCCGATGACAGTTCAGGCGATGATGTTATCCTGACAAGTGTAAGATGTCAATCATTTGAAAAGGCGAAGTTTGTTTCAAAATTAGTATTTTTCTTTGACATGCATATAGGATTTACTCGCTCGCTCATTTATAAATTCCACGAGTGACACACATATTTCAGTTATTATATGGTCCTAGTGTGTACCAATGCTTTGCAACCCAATCTAGGTATTAAAAACGATTGTCAAGTTTAATGGTTCCCAATAAAGCTGTAAATATACTTGATATACAAATATAAGTTAAGTTTAAGGATCGTTTTACGTCGGTAACATTATTTATCGGTTTAACTAACCAATGGAGTCAATTTTGTAGATTTTAACCAAGGAAGCTAAAGATCTCATGACTTATTTCTCTTGACTAACTCGGCATGTATCAGTAACTAATTTCAAAGATGAAGAATCTCACAGATTTACTTTTATAGTATCGGAGTGTATTGAATAGTGTGGTTGCCAAGCAGTGTGCATTGTCAAATGCATTTATAAAAATCAATTTTCTAAAATTGCGACTCCGGCAACTTTGTCAACAACACTCAATAATAATGGCAAAATACATTTTCACTGTACTTTAACCATTGATAAACGAAAACTGTCGAGAGTAAAGGATATTTTTCCCAGATGATGTTCACGTCATTGATGCATGGTACGCTCTGTAACAACATAATGTGTATCTAATTTGTATTGACACCGACAAAACGTTTTATTGCTCAAAGATCCTCTTACAAGAAGTGGGTAATGCCCACTGCTAAATTTTAGTCAAATAGTGTATTATCATGTTCTGGGTTAGGGTTAGGATTAGGGATGAGTGAATAAACCAAACAACTCACAGAACACAACTACATCAAAATCATCCACCTGAGCTACAAACCTTCTCCATCATATCAACTTACTGAACATCCAACACCTCCCTGAATGGGATATATAAACACCGTCCCTAACTGAGGCTACAAAAGCTGTCACTGATCTGAAACGAGGCAAATCAGCGGGGCCTGATGGAATGACTCCAGACGTGTTTGAGAAGGGTGGAGGCAGTTTACTGTCTGCGTCAACTAATTTATTAAGCAGCATCTAGGAATGAGAGATAGTGCCGTTGGGCTGGTGTAAGTCATTGATTACCCGTGTATACAAGAAGGGGTAAGTCTTTCGGGGGGTAATCATAAGGGGATTAGCTTGATAATACGTTACCTAAGTTTTTATGCGCAATAACCATGCGTAGATTGAGTGGTGCTCGAGAGAAAAAACGCAAGGAATCTACTCAGGCTCTAAGTTAAGTAGAGGATGTATTGATCTGATATTCACTCCTTCACATATTCTGGAACATAATCACATTTTCTGGCGTCCAACGATTACCATATTTCTTGACCAGAAGGCGTCATTTGACTCGGGCTGTCGAGAGGTAGTATGGCAAAGTCCGGTTGTAAGGGAAGAGCTGAGAAAGTACATCGCACCAATCGAAGCACCCTACTTGTACTCATACAGACCTGTAAGAGCGTATGGATCGTTGTAATCTGATGTGATGACAACAAGTGGTGTCTGTCAGGAATGACCACTATCGTCGTTTTTGTTGAAAATAAACAATTTATGCACAGAGGCATAAACACTTGCAATGAGTACATGGATGTACTAATGGAATTAAACCTGACTGACTTCAGCAACTCAGGGATTGACTTGTTACCAGGGTGTGGTCTCGTCGCCTTAGAATATGCAGATGATATAGTTCTGCCTCATAGGTGAAGACGCCAGGCATCTTCTTGACACGGGTCATGAGGTGGACGTCGAAAAGTCGTCCAAAATTATCAATAAGCAAAAGAGTTCAATTCTCCTTAAGTTTGCTGAAGCCTTTTCCATCAAGCGCCTAAAACCTGATTTGTGCATTCAGAAAGGAGCAGTTATCAGTCTTTCTTTGCCCTGGTAACTGGATATTTTTCATCCTAATGCGAGATACTGGAAAGTTTTCATTGTGTATGATTATTATTGCTCGGAATTGTGTTCATTATTGCATATATATATATGTATATATTATTAGTGTATGTGTATATTGATCGATTGATTTCTGTTTAAAATGAACTCTGTGCAAGTATGTTAAATTGTTTGTAGATACATTTAATAATGTTTTTGCCCTGTAAGCAGCTGAAGAGAAGGCGACGAAATAAAATATGGTACCATTTTATTCTGCTAAAACTGTAGTTGTTGCTTTGTTCAAAATACAGTCTTCTGAACGCTCTGAGCAGCAATCTTCGAATGCGATTGGCATGCAATTCGCTCCCTCTGTCAAATGTAAGATGGTGCTACAGAACTGGACTACATTGACTCCTAGCTTAAAGATAGTGAGGGAAGTAAATGGTAGAGCTTGTTGACCACTTCACTAATTTGGGGAGTTGCATTAGCCACAACGGGCTGGTTGCTGACGAAATCTCTACACGGATACAGAAGACTCGCTTGACATATGCCAGATTACATCATCTCTGGCGTAGATGTGATATCCGGCTATCGGTTAAAGCACGTGTGTACTTCTTAGCACTTCGCTCCGTCCTCCTTCATGACCATTGAAAGTGGAAGACATGAAAAGCCTAGCTAGATGTCTTTGATCATGGTTATCTGAGTTCTATCTGCCGTGTTAAGTGGTATAATAGAGTGAGTAATATTGCGGTTAGGCATCGACGAGGTTGTGAAGTTATGTTGATTGAAATGGTTAGGAGATGTTTTACTCATACCTGCCTAGCCATCACTTTCCTCGATTGTCAATGTTAGCTGAGATAGGATTGATCAGCTTGGAAAAGAGTAAGCTAGTGGTGGTCAAATGAAAACAGCTTCATCAATCAATGAAATCCATACCAGTTAGTTCTGAGCCACGTCTGGAGGTGTAGACTTCCTGTCTGGTTGGGGTACTCGGGGTGGTAAGAACCAATGATGATCAGCGACAAGTGGTGATATGGCTCAAAATGGTTCTCAATGGCTGGCGCAGATGCATCCACTCCTTGTAACTTATAATATCCAATAAAGTTGTATTGTCCTTGCATATTACTATTCTTTTTCCCTCATATTTCTGTTTATTATCTCTCTTTTGAATCTCTTTTTACTCTGTTCTCTTGATTCGTTTGCTAAGTGAAGTGTGGCAACTCGAACTGCTGCACATCTGTGCAAAGTTCTACGTTGAAACCAGTCAGTCAGCTTTTATGAAGTATATCCCCTTGAACTGATGCGTATTTTTTTTGCAAAGGTCTACTTAGATCATTCAGTGGATTTTGAATTATTTGAGTACATACATACCTCTTGATTTATGTAAATATGGTTACAGTGCATTTTTCATTTTAAGGAGTTAAGTTCCAAGGTTAGTTCTGGCCTTTGTAGACTACTAGTGGTGTATGAAGATTTCAGGTGTGTGATTTTGTTTAACATTGTAATCATCATAAAACTAATTCTATTCCTACTGCTTTTATAAACTGCAGTATGCGAACGGTTGGTTTAATTAGTTAAAGATGGTTAGAATTCAACTATCCGGACCTGTTAGCTAGGAAACTGAGCCATATCTTTATCCTAATTTGTTAATAACTAGCAAATAAGAGAAGTAATGACGCATCACGTCAAATGAAGTCAAAAAGGTCAGGCAGTCATCGCCACTTGGTGGTGCATTTCACACACCCACATTCAGTATCCCGGTGAAGTGCTTCCAATATCTCCTCTATCTCCAAGTTCAAATGGTGTGTATCTCTTATTATTTACTTTATTCCTTTGAGTTCCCGGTGAACCTAGGGCTTCAATCCAGAGCTTTGAAGTTTCAGTAGCACTGGTGTTTTTTACGAAATGGGGTTGCTAGCCTCATGCTCAACCTTTCCTCTTTACCGAGCTTACTACCGGCTAAGCAAGGTAAAGGAATGAGTTGGTCGAGGATCGAACCCCAGATCATCGCCCAGTTGGCCAGTGTCTTACCACTGAACCACTGACACAGATGGTATGTATCACTTGATCATGGGACCTATTCCTGGTTAGCACTAACTTCCGGTATAACCAGTGCCGTAGACCCACCCGGCGTCCTCCTGTCAATCAATCCTGAACTGAGATGAATATTGCTATCGGCTTCCGATGACACAAGTGCTTATAATACTGCGACTCCTTTTGGATCATGCTTTAGTGTTTACCAGGGTAATGTTACGATATCGTGGTAATCATAAATGTCTTCCTCTACATTTTGACGTTGACAAACCTATAGCACCTACTATTCAGGGCTCACCAGCAATCCCTTCCCTCCGAATATTACGGATAACTTTGGTTTCGTTTGTAAGGGTTATGAAAATGAGGGTTTTAGAATCCCGAGGAACCCAACCAGGTAGTCTACCCCTCCCTACGTCGATCAAACTAACTTCTGAAGATTTTAATGGACCGATGCCATGTTTTCATATGACTACCAGCAGCTCTTTTCCAAATTAATCCTATTTCAGCGAACACCGACCGTCGAGGAAGGCGATAGTTAGGCATTACGTATTACATGTCTTAGCCGGCTCAATCGATGTAGCTTCACAACCTTATCGACTAAGTTACCTGCCTTACCTAACACTCGACATATAACCTCAATATTACTCAAAGTATTACACCACTCAACAAGGGCTATAGAACATAGACACCTATAATCCAAGAGAGCTGGTGTTTTCACATCTTCTTTTTTTATTTGCTATGTATCACAACCAGAGAGGAGAACGGATCGAACTGGTGAACAGCTCATATCTCCTTTAATCGATAGCCAAATATCATGTCTACACCAAAGATGCTGCAAGCTCGCAAATGCCACATGAGTCATCACTGTACCCAACTCTAATTGGAGCTTACGTAGTGAATGTGACATTCTTAAGTGTATTAGTTTGCTACAGGCCGTGTCGGAAATGTTTGCTGTCTCTTCCTACAAACAGTGTAAGACACGTGAGAAATTGATTCGCTAACAGCATGTTCGGTTTCGTTCAAGGCGAAGAGCTGCTAGAGCAGCGTCATTCGTATTGCAGACCAACAATCGTTATGTCTTTAAGTATTATGACTGTCTTCGACTGCTTTGACAGAACTGCCCTCTGAAACTATCTGTTAGAAAGAAGTGTTCCTGAGAGCGTTATACAAAAACACTTCAAGTACAGTAAGGACATATACCTAGCTATCACTACTGTTCTCAACCAACAGTCAGGGTTAAACAGGGTTGTCCAGTATCACCACTTCTCTTTAACTTTCCCATCGATTTCATTCTGGAGACTCCAATAAAGGAAGTGTTTGGTGGTGGAGGTGTAGGTCTGCCTCCTGGAGAAAGAGATTACGACTCCGAGTATGCAGACAATGTCGTCTTGCCGTGCGACAGCATTTAGGCTGCCCGAATCTCACTTCATCAGTTGGCAGTGTCAATTAGCATGGTATGTACTTTGAGCGGTCCAAGTGAAAAGTGCTGCTGCAAAATTGGTAGGAGCCTGTACCTGTACTCACCGCATAAAGGTATCGACAGGTTTTTGTAGTATCTAAGTTGTTGCGTGAGGACTGGTGGAGATGTGGTGGACGAAATATCTAACCACAGAGTGATTGGGAGCGTGGGATACACTAACATGGACCACATCTGACACCGTCATGACCACGTCAGTTTGGTTGTCAAAGGTTGGGACGAAATTGCTTCGGTGCACGCAGTTGCTTACTCTATGCCTGCCTGTGAAAATTGGCCTCACCGAGTTGAGGATGAGTTTCCACTCATTACTGTCTCCGTAGGATTGCTTAAATTCTATGTCACCATCGTGAACGGGATTCTGAGATCCAGCAGTGTGGGATTAGACGCGTTAGAGGTCATCTTCCATTATGTTGTTATCCTGGAACACGAGCATCTGTGTATTGGATATGTAATGACATACCGATCCCTGTTCTTTAGTCTTCGGACTGGACGCAAAAAGCGAAGTGTTGGTTAGCCTCTGATGTTCGTGGCGCCATAGGGTGCAAGATGTTTGTCTTAGGTAAGCATTCTAGTCTGCATCACGACTTCCTTAATGAGTTCTGAAGGGAAATTTAATTAGGTGGTTCTAGGTGTTATCAGATATGGCTAAGGATTGTAATAAGTGGCGGGCTAGCTACAATTTCTTTTTCCCGTTTGTGAAAGTTACATGAGGTAATGAGCCATCATGTGAAAGATCCTAACAAGTGTCCCTACCTGCTATCCGGATGATATCCCTCACTAATTGTATCCCTGTTCTCCCAATATTGTTGTAGTATTACTTTTATGTGACGCATCTCTACCGGATTTGTATTTTAATAAATAAAATAAATAAATTGAAATAATTGTTATTTTTACAAATCTGTTAAATCCTCATTATTCTTCACGTAACTTTCGTAATATGGGTCTTTTGAAATTTTTGCTTTACTTTTGTATGTTACGTAGAATACAGCAACTTAAACTGTTTCACTTTTGTGCAAGTTCCTACTCCGAAAACGCAGTCAGTCAGTTGTGGCAGTCTGTATATTAGGGGCACGAATATCTATCTGAAGAACAGTTTGTAAATCCCTAGAATGTGTTTTTAACAACTACTTAGTTTTAAAGTTGTATTTGAGTCAAACGTCAAAAACACAAACTCACTCTGTTGATAAGTTATGTTTGATTTTTGGCGTCATATAAAAACCACTAAAATAACGAAGCCTTAAGATTCGCTATACTTCATATCTGTTCGTTGTTAGGAGCGTTCATCGAAACCACGATATGAGCCTAATTCATCATCATCAAATACAGAAGGCGTTAGCTCTGGTTCATCTTCAGTCGCTCGTTCATGTGGTCATGTCAATGGAGCAAAGGATGATACAACACAAAAGAAAAAGAGACACCTACAGCAACTTTATCAACCTCCTGTTGAATTATTGTTCAGTGGATCGTTAAATGCTGTAAGTTATTATCAGTGTGTCATTGGTTGTGTCAGCTGTGAAGTTTCAACAGTTAATATTTAATATCCACTTATATACGCGTGTATACATAAGATACGATTATGCTTTGCCTCATCTCTATAGTAAATCTATAAAGCTATAAAATTAATCTTGATATAGTCAGTTTATCACTTCTATCCGTCTTACACTCATAACCTTTTTTTCGAACAGGCTGCAATAGCTGCTCAAGAGAAACATCAATGGTTGCTTGTTAGTGTCCACGATGAAGGGTGTTTTGAGTGTCATTTGTTAAACCGTGATGTTTGGAAGGATCCAAAAGTCTATCAGCTGGTCAAATACCACTGTACATTCCTCCAAGTAAATATTATACAATATTTGATAATTTATAAATTTATTTAATGTTTTCATAAACAATGAATTATTTCTCACTTTTTATGTGCTCTTCAGTGTGAGTACGGTAAAAAAATCCCATTAATCAGAATTACTTTTGTGGTGTTATATAGTGTAGTTGTGGATTATTGAGTGCGACTTTACTAAATAGTCATAATAAAAATTAATACGAAGTAAAATATTAGATGTGATCTTAGGTTGTTGAAGTAATTTTAACCGAATTTTGTGTGTGAGCACAAATTGATCGTTAGACCTTATGGTATATAGTTAATTATCGTTTCTTTTTCATTACAGTTAGGAAATCTTAATGTTTTTGTGCACAGGTGATGTTTAAACGTAACCGTTAGGTCTCTCCCTATATCCAACATTCCAAGTAACTACACTTGTTGAAACAATTTATTTTACTAGTGTAGCCACATTCCACTAGGAAGGCTAATTGTTGGTAGTGGTAAAATCAAATCTGACCGATAGCGCTGCTACCAGTGGTGGTAGAGTTTGTAAGTTTCAATGACCCGATGACGTACACTGACTAGATCGAATATTCTTGCAGGCCCTACCATATCAGAACTGTTCTTTTGGATAGCGGTTCGACAAAAAGGCAGTTGATAACATCGTAGTTTAAGTCACTCACACTATGTTGGGAGTTTGTTGGAGAAGTAGCACTCCTGACAAATACGGACGTGATAGCAGTGATCTTCTCGAACAACCAGCAATGGCTTCCTCCCTTAAGGAAGGGGGTCGACCCATAAAATTGAATATCACCACTTACGTTGCTGCAGTTCGTAGTTGAAAGTAATAATAATAGTCACTTTATGCGTCGGTGGCACAGGTGGCTCAGGGTTCGACCCCCGGCTGACGCACTCCTTCACCTCGCTAAACCAGTAATAGGAGTTGTAGGGGGGGGGGAAGGTTGGGCATGAGGCTAGCAACCTGATCCTGCTATAGAAACTTCAAGCCTCAAGGAATGAAAAACTTTATTCCAAACAATAATAATAATTTTACAGAATGGAATCTTCAGCGTTTTTATAGATATTTTAACAATGTAACTCCTTTCATAAATATGGACATACGTAATATTTAGAATAGTAATAATAATATTAATAGTGGAACTACTATAAATAGAATGTTGGTGGAAACAATGAAGTATAAACAGATAGTATCACAGATAATACATGTAATAATAATCTCTGCTCATACTTTGTAGTTCATTTACTAATTTAAAAAGTTTATAATTTCTTTTCTGACATCTGACTCTCTCTTCACTTAAAACCCGTGCTAAATATGGTGGTATAGTAGAATTTTTGTATTTAGTAGCTGTACGAGCATAAATTCTTATGGAGTTGCTTCTGGTTTCACCCGAAGATATACAGGGCAAAAGTTGAGAATAAAGAGGATGTTCAGTATCAGACAAGATAACTTTAGCCAAATGCTTGCAAGAATTTGACTGCCTATTGACAATAATGTCTATCAGTTGAATCAGAGGCACACTACTAACCTTACTTTTATGGTCTTCAGTGTTCTACGTGATATGACGTCTTTTTTGAGAAGTCCAGGGAAGGACGAGTGAGGCGAACAATAAACGAGAATGGGAAAAATACCTGAACTAAAAAATGTAAGGGAAGAGGTTAAGTTATGCCGGAAATTTTCAACTTCTTCATGTAATAAGTCAAACGAAAATTTTTCTTAGAAATCAACATGTATTTAACCAATAAGAATACGGATGTGAGAGTGCTTAAAGTAGGCGACTAATTGATGTAGAACTGAGGCAGCACTTCAAGTTGGCTTCCACATTACATAATAGCACACAAAGGTCGAAAAGAATAATGCAAAGGAACTATAATGAGCGGAAATGCATGACTGGAGAAATAATTACACAGACTAATTCATATTTGATGGATCTGGGTTATCAGAATGCGTGAATACATTTGTGTCACTGAGAACAATTCTGAGCCATGTGACCGACAGTCTTAAGCCATTGGTTGTAAGCGTCTAAGGGATTACATCAAGGCACTGTGATCATATCTTCACACTCTGACAGATTCTAGAACATAGGCATTCCTACTGGCGTCCAACAATCATTATAATTCTTGACCTAAAGGCGGCATTCGATTCTGTTGACCGAGGGGTACTCTGGCTATGCTTGGCTGTGAGTGGAGTGCCAAAGACGTGCATCACACCGATCGAGGTTCTCTTTCTACTTGAACTCATGCAGTCAGCCAGGTAACAGCATACGGCGAGTTGTCGTCTGAAGTGGTGACAACCAGTGGTGTCTATCAGGAATGCCCACTATCCCCGTTTCTATCCGATTTCATCATAGATGTAGTAATGGACTTAACCCTAACTCACTTCAGAGACTCAGGAATCGACTTGTTACCATCAGGGAATAATCTCGTTGACTTAGAATATGTAGATGATATAGTCCTGCCTGCTAGGTGAGGACAGTAGAAAGCATTGGCTGGAAACAATTGGTGATATGGCCCCGAATGGTTCTCAATGGCTGGCGCAGATGCATCCACTCTTTGTGACTTGTAATTTCCAATGAAACTATATTGTTCTTCGTTATTACTATTCCCTGTCTACTGTCTCTATTATGCATTTCTTCTCTTGCTTTGTGTGCTACATGGAGTGTGGCGACTTGAACTGCTGCACATCGATGCAAAGTTCTATGTCAAAACCAGACAGAGGTTGTTTGACCTCCGACCTGTCGCTCGGCTGCAGAGGATTTTACTGGTGAACTGGCATCATGGTTTGTCATTACTATGATGTATTGGCACTGTTTTCTTTCACTTTTCCTTGTCTTGTCATGCGTATGGTGCATAAATTCCAAACATCCATTTCAATACTTTTCCAATCTATTTGTGTGCATTTCTTTTCGCATCTTAGATTTGTGGTACAGCTGTTTTGTCGTATTATTTCAGATAATACATGTACTATACGTGAATTTAACACCCCGTTAGCACCATCATCATCAGTAGCATCATCGTCATCATCAATATCAACAGTATTGTTAACTTTCTCATTACCGGTATCTGCTAGTCATGTAAATACTACTGCTACTTCTGGTGTTAAACTTATTAATTTAGAACAGCTATGGAACTTTATTCTTTTTTCCAATCGATGTGTATATCGCGAAACTAGTAGACTATTGTTACAACTCTATACAAAGGCTTATTCACGTTGTACAAAAAGCCGACAGGAATTATGCAGTGATATTATGCGGACATGTTACGCACATATTAAGACAGCTTACGATGAGGTAAGATGTATGTGAATAAATTGATTGTCAACCAAATGAATTGTGATATTTTCCTGCCTTAAACTTTTGTTGAATTAAATTCTCATGTGTAGACACCTGCTTGATGAGTGTTTCATATACTAACTTAGGTGACGAACTGACATAAAAAGCAGTGGAAACCAGGAAGTACTAGGCAGATATTCAGTCCTAGGTTGGGACTCTCCAACAGTGTACATTCATAGGCCTTTCAGGGACTGAACCTAGGACGTTCAGGTTTTGACACTAGCAGTCAGTCACTGGAACAGAATCCAGTAACCCTATACGACCTATGTTTATACATATATATATATATATTATAACCAGTAAGGTGACTTGAGATTTCTATGTGTGTTTTTTTTTTGTATAGTTTATTTTGTGCTTCATTGACTTATTTGTTGAACTTCTGATCACCGGTTCACAAATCCCATTTCACCTATCGAGGTATGAGCAGGTAAATAGTAATGTCACTATCCCTCAGACAGATTTATGGTTTATCGTCGACTGTAAATGAAAATGCAAGTGTTTGTTTGATTGATTGATTGATTTTACGCCCGTGTTATTGTCAATTCACCCCCCCTGTCTCCCCAACATTTCTTTTTTTTCTCACTTTTTAGCTCATGGATAGGTTCATCATTCCACTGAACAGTCACTTGTCAAGGTCTACCAACCACGTTTTATCTTTGTCATAATAAGAATAATAGAAAGGGAAAAAATCAAAAGCATACCTTCCTTTCTAATGGAACCACGGTAACTATTGCACTTATAGTACATGGAAATATAACAGTTGGTGAACTACGCGCGTTTCTATTGGATTTTTGTGTAAATGGTTACCCGTCGAATTCTCCGTCGTCATCATCCTCACTGTCACCAGTAACAACAACAATTCCACCTAACTGTAATGATGATAGTAAGAGTCATTATCGTATTAACAATCGTAATGATAGTAGTGTGTTGCATCCAAATACTTCCCAATATGAATTAGAATTAAGTGTTCTCAATACGGAAGAGGAGGGGGAGCAGACAAATGGCAATAATTGGTTATTAAACTGTAATATGGATAACGAATTATTAATTGATCTACTCTCATCCTTTCCTAATTGGACTAGACAATTTTTAAAGCATCATCTTAAGATGGAAGATGAAGAAGGTCATAGAGGAAAAAAAAGAAGTAACGCCAACAGTGATGATGCTTCACTAATTCAGTAAGTATAATGTCAGTTTTTCACTACTACTACTACTACTACTACTACTACTACTGCTGACATTTTGTTTACTGCCTCTTTTTTTATCTGTATGGAGTTAGTTGGTCACTTGTTTTGTTGGTGGTCATTAGTCAGATGAAGGATGTGACTTGTTTTCGTCAGTTGAATGTACATACTCCCCAGTAGGTGTGATAGTATTTCCATTAAGACTCGAACCCAGTACCTATCGTTTCCAATGCATAAACATTATCCATTAGGCTTTTGGTCTATAAGAGTCACCGTTTGTGCGATGGGATTGATTTCAAAATTATTTATTCATATTTTGATTTCCAGTGGTTAAATCAAAATTCGGTACGTCAACCTCATTTTGGTATATAGGCTCTGTAGACGGGTGTCGTCGTATCACCATGAAAAACACTTCAGAAGTGATTGTTTGATGTTGTCTAGCAGTGGAATCTAAGATGTGCGTTTGTGTCTTATTTGGGACTTGT